AGAAGATAATTACTTTACAATATTGTGATGGTTTCTGCCATACATCAACATGAGTCAGCATCAGGTATTCATATGTCCCCTACCTCTTGAACCTCCCTCCTACTTCCCTCCCCATCCCACCCATCTAGGTTGTCAAAGAGTAGCAGCTTTGGGTGCCCAGCATCAAACAGCAACTCCTCACTGACTATTTTACATATGACTATATATATATATATGTTATTCTCTCAAATCACCCCACCCTTCCCTTGCAGCAAATGCCATGTCTATCAAGAGTGTTAGAGAATAACACTATCTTCTAACTGTTCCTTCTGCTTCCAAGTTTATTCCTTAAAACCTCTTACATTAGAGGTTGGCAAACTTTTCCTGTAATAGGCAACACAGGAAATGTTGTAGACTCTGTGAGCCATAATGTTGGCTGCAAATATAGCTCTGCTACCACAGTGCCTAGACCATCATTTAAATGAATGGGTACAGATTTGTTCTAGTAAAATTTTGTTTACAAAAACAGACAGTGAGAACCTACTATATAGCTCAGGGGACAAAAAGAAGGTGGAATCTGTTTGGAAAACAAATATTAGGTTAATCTTAAAAATTTCACTGCAATCTACATTAGGTACACACATGTACTATTTGATTTACTTTTATGAGGTACCTAGAACTGTCAAATTCATAGAGTCAGAAAGTACATTGGTAGATGCCAGGGGCTGGGTGCAGGAGTCAGGCGGGCGAATGGGGAATTTGTGTCTAACGAGGACAGGGCTCCAGTTTTGCCTCTGCACTCAGGCTTGTCTGACTCTTTGTGATCCCTGGGACTGTAGCCTTCCAGGCTCCTGTGTCCATAGGGTTTCCCAGGCAAGAAGGGGAAGCCCCCAAGAGGGGGGGCTGTCATTTCCTCCTCCAGCAGATCTTCCCTACTCAGGGATCAAACCCTCGTTTCTCATGTCTCTTGCATTGCTAGGGGTGCATTCTTTACCACTGTGCCACCTGGGAAGCCCCGCGTTCCAGTTTAGGAGGGCAATGAAGTCAAGGGATGCATGATGGTGAGTGCTGCACAATGATGTGAATAGATTTATTGCCTCTGAACTGTACAATTAAATATGGTTAAATAGCATGTTTTATATTATGTGACTTTTACTACAACAAAATAAAAGCAAACAAACAAATAAACAAAAACCCAGCAGGCTGGATTTGTGTCCACTGTCATGGTTTGCTGGTCCCTCTTGTACCATATTACTAGCTATTTTGTGGTTGTCTTTGTGTATTTGTTTATTTCTAAAATCAAAGGCAATGCAAATATCACTTATTCTTAAGCCCACAATGTAGAGCGAATTCTTTACTATGCTAACATCCATATCACTTTCTATATGTTCATATTACAATGTGCAGTAGATGCTATTATGATGTTTTATGTGTTTATTTTTCCATGATGAGTTCAAAAACACACACATACACACACAATATGATTTCCAATATTCAGCCTATGGTTTGCCATACTGTTTCAACAGAAATCATGCCTAGACCCAAGGTACAAGACAGGCTGAAAGCCTACTCTGCTTTGTCCTTTTTCTCTGGTACTTTCAGGCATTAAATTTTCTCCTTCAACCAGGCTTGTTTCTATAAAAGAACTAAAAAATATAGTTGATCTTGGAACAGTTTGGGGATTCCAGACACCAACTTCCCTCCTGCAGTCAAAATCCATACGTAACGTATTGCAGTTGGCCCTCGTAGAGAAGGTTCCTATAAGGGGACTTGCACAGTTCACACCCGTGTTGCTCAAGGGTCAGCTATACTGGTATTGCCCATTCCTACCCTTCTCTCCAAGTCTTAGATGAGGGCTGAAATATTTTGGCTTGCTCCTAAGTCCTTCGGCCTTTGCTGCAATGATTTCTTTAGGTTTCATGATTCCTAAAAGCCCAGCGTCATTCAATACGCTCACATGTACTCACTTAGCTTTAACTATGTTCACACACAGGTATATATTTTAGGTTGCACTTATAACTTTTTTCTCCCCTTATTATTTTCTTTGGCTTTTTCATCTCTGTTTTGATTGACTTTAACTATTTTCTATGTCAACTATTTTCCCAAGCATTTCTCTAGATAAAGTGGGAGGATGATATGGACTACCCTGGTGGTTCAATGGTTAAAACTTCACACTTCCAGTGCAGGAGATGTGGGTTTGATCCCTGGTCAGGGAACTAAGATCGCCCATGCTGTGTGGTGCGGCCAAAAACATTCTTAAAAAGGTAGAAGGAAGATATACTTTCTGGATTCCTTTCTACATATTTCTTTCATGCTAACAGATATATCATGTTTTTGATTGAGTGAAGGATTTGGTGTTCAGTCTTTTCTCTAAAAGTTGACAATGGTATTAAATTATTAACCACATTCCAGTATTTCAAGTGACAAATATGATGTGAAAATATCTTTTCCTAGTAAGTAACTTTTTAAAATCTGAAGTCTATATAATTTTCTCTTCATTCATAGACTTTAGGAAAACTTTGCCAGCATCTACCTAAGTTTGATTCTTTCCCAATTAACCCTTCCTGAAATTCAGAAAGTCTATTCAACTTGTAAATTCTGTATATTCTTCACCTAAAGGTTAGGAAAAAAAAAAAAGTTACTGTTCCTCTCCTTCATCTGCTGTTTCTTGCATTCTGGGAACATATGTTATTCCCACACTATGTCTAGTTAATATATCCTCTAAGTCTCATCTCTTTCTCACAATTTCTATATATTTGTAATTTTGTTCTCTGATTTTTAGCTCCTTCTTCCAGTCTTGGAAGGTCTTAAGTTCCAGGAAAACAATTTGGGTTTTATCAGTGTCCCTATGTGCCTCAATGTGCTATTGATTTTCGGTTGTTTACTTATTGTAGAAAACATGGCTTTGAGTTATAGGAATCTCTCAGCAGTGTCCTTAAAACACTAGTGCTCGGATTAGCTAGTGTTCAATACTCTTTTTGGTAATGACTGTTGTGCCCGATTTCCTCTTTGGTGCTCTGCCCCCCAGAGTGACGGTCAGTTTCCAGCGCTCCCTGGGGTTCTTACGTCGCCCCTGGCAGTACCTTCCAGCGGCATTCTCACAAGTGATGGAGTCACAGAGCTCTTTGCTTCTGTAAGGAGATGATCGGCAAATGTGCTGTCAGTCTCTTGACAAGGCTCCAGAAGAAAGTCTGTTCTGGACTTTTTACACAAACTTTCTCCTGCCAGAAATAATGGTGGTGACTCTCAGCTTTTTGTGTGGGTGTGGGTGGGTGGGGGCATATTCCTTGCAGCTTGTGGGATCTTAAAGGTTCACCAACCAGCGACAGAATTTAAGCTCTTGGTAATGAAAGTGTGGAGTTCTAATGACTGGGCCGCCAGGGAATTCTCTTCAACTTTCTTAAGAGACCCATGAGCCTGAGTGTCTTCGGGTCCTTTCCACTGGCTCTCTGAGACTAGACCCTGCATTCTACTCTGGTCTCTGGGGAATCCATTTGGCAATTGCTTTCTCCCCCGAGATTCTGTTTAAGAAGAAAAACTGACTCTCTCTTTCTAACCTGATTCCCCCACAGCTTAAGGAGCTATCTGTTTATCTCAGGAGAATTAAAGTAGACTGGATTTGGGAAAACAAAAGAAATTGCAGCCTCCCATTAAAAAACCTTATATATATGAGACAAAGGATGTTAACAAAACAAATTGTAGTAATCATTTCACAACAGATGTAAGTTAAGCCATCATGTTGTTCATCTTCAACTCATAAATGCTGCATATCAATTATATCTCAATAAAACTGTAAATATTTTCCAAATTTAAATATATATATATATATATCTCCATTTGCACAGAGTGGTTTGATTAGTGACTATAAAACCTAATTCAATACCCATATATATAAACTTTAGTATATAAAACATGTGCTCAAAATATATCTTCTAAATCCAAACTTAGGGCCTCATAGAGGTAATGAAAATATTTTCGTCATAGTTGAACTTTATTTTAATTATATTTAGGAAATTCATCTTAGATAAAAATAAAATAAAATAGCTAGGCTTCAGAAATAACCAGAAGATTGGAAATCTCTGTCATGGCTTATGAAATACAGTGTAAGCTCTGTATTCAGGAGAGACTGGGGTCAATTTCTTCATGGCACTTCAGGAAAGCACTTGGGAAAATTACTTATATACTGTATACCAGTTTGTAGAGCTTTAATATGGCATTTTGGAGAAAGCAGTGGCACCCCACTCCAGTACTCTTGTCTGGGAAATCCCATGGATGGAGGAGCCTGGTAGGCTGTGGGTCATGGGGTCCGAAGAGTTGGACACGGCTGAGCGACTTCACTTTCACTTTTCACTTTCATGCATTAGAGAAGGAAATGGCAACTCACTCCAGTGTTCCTGCCTGGAGAATCCCAGGGACGGGGGAGCCTGGTGGGCTGATGTCTATGGGGTCACACAGAGTTGGACATGACTAAAGTGACTTAGCAGCAAGCAGCAGCAGCAATGTGGCATTTAAAATATTTCACAGGGTTATCATATATTTTAAAATAAAGGATGCAAATGCTTAGGGGTATCTGCAGATTTTACTGGTTAATGTAACTATTGCTTGAACTATCAGTACTATTATAATTTGATCATAACTTGAAAGTTTAAAAGCCATAGCAATAGATTTCCAACTTTATACTCTATGTATTGATACAAACTGTCACTGATTGTGTTGGTATGGTAAAAAATAATACACCAATTAAGCAAGAATTGCAAATATTTTCTCATGTATGAATGGTTTTTCCTTGAGATCAAGATGTTACTTACACTAACAACTTCAAATATTTGTTTTAATAAATACTAGAACAGTTAGCAGAAATGTTCTTGAAAACTTTAGGCCATAGGAAATTATTAAAATATTTGGAATTTCTTCAAATTTCTTCACATCCCCCAAAATATCTAAATATTAGTCTTCAAACTATTATTTTTAGATCTTCAAAAATATATTAACTTCCAAAATATAGAAATGATTCAGCTTACCCATATCTGACATTTCAGGCACAGTTACAATATATGGTCCATCTGTGAACTTTGGAGCGTTGTCATTGATGTCTTGCACTTTGATGATAAACTCGGATTCAGGCTCAAGGGGCTTGTTCGTTCGTCTGTCAATAGCCTGAGCATGAAGTACATAGTGGGTCTTCTGCTCCCTGTCTAGGCTTTTTGTTGAGTGGATGTCACCCGTGGTATCATCAATGATGAAAATAGTCCCAGCACCTTCTCCAGTAAGGATGTACTTGACAGACCCATCACCTTTGTCAGAATTGGAGTGCAGCTGTAGACAAAGATGGAAAATTTTAATATAATATTATATCCAACCTCACATGGTATTCTCTGAAAATTGCCATCTATAATTTAATACTTATTTTGGTTATGACATTTTTCTTCTCTCCAATGTACCAGGTATTGCTAAAATCATGTTTATCTGCAGTTTTTCTCTACTTGGTATAAACAGGGATATTTTATTATGTTCTAAAAGATTTAATAATTGAAGAAAAATTAATAAGCAATACTTATTAAAAGAATAACCCTTGCTGTCATTCTACTAAATCAATGTTTTTCTACCTATATAGAATAGAATTGTAAAAGAAACTACCAGTAAATCACAGTTGTCTTCCATATTTCCACAGGGAATTAAAAAAAAAAAGAATTAACTGCTGGGCCATTTCAATATTAAAATTAAAAAATACTACAGTAAAAGTTGAAATTCAAATTATTTATTAAAATTTCCACAAAATGGACACTTATTTATCACAGAAACATTAATTTTATACTTTGGAAAAACAAATATCTTCCAGATTGTTAAACTAGAAAACAAACAAACAAACTTGTGATGGAATGTTTTCTTTCTTGAAAAATTAATGAAACTTTACACTCAAAATTTAAATGGCAGTGGTAGATTTAATCAGTAAGTAGGCCCTGATTTTTAATTGAGATACACTAAGAAATCTCATTTATAAAACTAAAATAATTGAATTGTCTTTGAATAGACATTAGAGGGGTAATATTTCAGCAGACATCTTCAATAAGAAAGATAAATAATGTACATTAAGGCAATTAAAAATCTTCTTATCATTTAAATATTAGTAAATGCTTTTAAACTGCATATAATTCACACAATGTCTAGCTGTAACATAACATCAAAGTTCAGTTAATATTTCTATGAATAGCATTGCTATATTTCTAGCTAAGAACATTCACTTAGAAGACATTTTTAAAGATAAAATACAGAAAAAAGATAATAAAAGGAAAGGACTACTTCAATGGGAAAATGAAGGGATCTGAAGTACATCAGGAAAAATTGTACTTATTTCTTGAAAATACATAAGTCATAAGGATAAAATTTTGATAGGCATCACTCAGCTAGATTCAACAAATTAAATCATTTCCAAACTGATTTTTTGGAGTTTTTCTAAAAAGGAGTAAAACTACACTAGCAGAATATGAAAAACACAGCTTTCAAAGATTCACACTTCATTAGTAAATTAACTACTAAAAGAAGCAGTAGAATGAGTTGTGTGGAGACAGTTGTATGTATGCATGAAAATGAATTTATTCATTTATTTATGTCTCTTTACATCATTTTAGCACCTACAAGAAGAGATTTATCATTTATGCATCAGATATCTACAAAATATCGATTGACCAGTCTGTTTCATATCCTCCAATTTTGCATCTATCCATGACCAAAACAGCAAAATAAAGGACCAAATTCACTGAACAAATGCTTCTAAAACTTTTCTGGAACATGCATGTTATTAAAATAACAAAAGGCAAAGTCATTTTAATAGTTATTGCTATATTGTGTATGAATTATAAATCTATATATAATAAATGTGACTAATTAAAAACACTGACAGAAGGGGTTAAACCTTCTAACAACTAACTATTGAAAGATATGACAATGGTGAAAATTGACTCTTGAGGATATTACCATATACTATTATATTTTTAGAGTGGTTAATTTGAAATTATTTAGTTTTGTATTTAACACTACAGTTAACTATATGTATTTTTTGGAAAGGCATATGGACATAGACCAGCAACAGAAGTATGTAAAAGAAGTAGTAAAGTTGTCAATCTAAAGCATCTGTTAAAAATTTATATGCTCTATGCTTTATATGGATTATGATAAATAATTCAATTAAAGCTAAATGCCAGCAAATTTATGGCTTTAGATTTTAACACTTGAATCTGACTCCACATTTATAAAGTTTTGAGAATTAATATAGCACTTAGAATAAATGTTTCAGAAGTTATGTCTAACTAGATAGTAAATGTGCAGTGTGTGCTAAGTTGTTTTAGTCCTGTCTTATTCCTTGGCATCCTATGGACTGTAATTCACCAGGCTCCTCTGTCCATGGGATTCTCCAGGCAAGAAAACTGGAGTGGGATGCCATACCCTTCTCTGGGGGGATGTTAATGACCCAGGGATAAAACTTGCGTCTCTTAGTCTCCTGCACTGGCAGGTGGGTTCTTGACCACTAGTGCCACCTAGGAAGCCCCCACAATGTGCAGTAGTCAGTGAATTATAACTTCAGTTCAGTTCAGTCACTCAGGTCATGTCTGACTCTTTGCAACCCCATGGACTGCCGCACGCCAGGCTTCCCTGTCCATCACCAACTCCCGGAACTTGCTCAAACTCATGTCCGTTGAGTTGGTGATGCCATCCAACCATCTCATCCTCTGTCGTCCCCTTCTCCACCCGCCTTCAAGCTTTCCCAGCATCAGGGTCTTTTCCAAGGAGTCAGTTCTTGGCATCAGGTGGCCAAAGTATTGGAGTTTCAGCTTCAGCATCAGTCCTTCCAAAGAATATTCAGGATTGATTTCCTTACTTTGAAGTATTGATATTGTACAACACAGTCAAAGGTACAATGAAATACTATAATTATGCATTTAGATTACATAAGTTGTTGATAATATTTAGCTTGAATGTTTTAGTTTTTTTTAATTATTTTTTTTGAGTATAGTTGATTTACAATGCCATGTTAGTTTCAGTTGCATACCCAAGGGAATCAGTTATGTGTATATATATATACATGTATATGTATATGTACATATATAGCCCCCTTTTTTTACATTCTATTCACATCTAGGCCATTACAGATTATTGAGTAGAGTTGCCTGTGCTATACAGTAGGTTCTTCCTAGTTATCTATTTTATATATAGTACTGTATGTCAATTCCACTCTCCTAATTTATCCCTCCCCTGTTTATTCCCTGGAAAACGTAAATTTGCTTTCTATATCTGTAACTCTATTTCTGCTTTGTAAATAGATCTAGCTTGAGTGTTTTACTAATGGAGATGACCATTTATTCAATGGATTTTTAAAATTTCTCATCTGGCCTTAAAATGATACTTTCCATGTAACACTAATTGAAACCCATCACAGTAGCAGTAGGTCAATCAATAAATACTTTACAAAACTATGATGAGAATTATTTGTGAAACAATAAAGTGATCCACCCTCAAGATTGCCTTTTCTCTATTCAACCTGTTCTTAAAAATTTGTTTTTGTTTACAGCATATACTCCAACAGATATTAGAGGAAACACTAACAAGTAGGTTTTAAGATTCTGGAAGAACACAGGTTTTATATTAGGTTTTATAAGGCAAAAGATGATGAATGAGTGAATGAATGAATATTTTGAATGAAATGGATGAAGGGTAAAGAGGTAGAAATCTTAAGACATAGAGAGAAAACTCTTAGATACAGATGATCAGGTTACACAGATAATCAGAATAGAAATGTGTTATCTTTTAGGGTGGGCAGCAGTGAGACATCAAATGAAAGGAGCAGGGAAAAGAGTCATAAAATAGGAATGCTCTGGATGCCTCACTTGTGGCTCAGATGGTAAAGAATCTGCCTGCAGTGCAGGAGGCCTGAGTTTGATCCCTGGGTTGGGAAGATCCCCTGGAGAAGGCAATTGGAACCCACTCTAGCTTTCTTACCTGGAAAATTCCATGGACAGGGGACCCTGGCAGGCTACAGTCCTTGGGATCATAAAGAATTTTATATGACTGAACAACTACAACTTTTTTTGAAATATTGCATTGTAAGTTTAGGTAGCTACTGCATTGAGAGATTTCCATCTTTTTTCCATTATGATATTTTTGAAAAATTGGAAAATAAAGTTGATTTTAGTCACACATAGTTCAGTAATCATACAAAGAGAATAGTAGAAGGGTCTTACATTACCCATAGTGATAGGAATATACTTGTAGAATCATGAGATTTTGCAAAGTGAGTGATATCTTTATGCTAAAAGAGAGCTATTATACTGTTCTAAAGCAAGAATAAAATATCCTTGTGTATCTGATCACATAGTTACATAGAGTTAATCAGTTGTTCTTTAAAGAATAGAAAAAGGAGGAGAAGAAAGAAAAGAAAACACAATTATCCAAGTGAAGCAAAATGAACTCTTCTCTTGTATTCCTTTAATAAATTGTCTCTTCCTTGGTGTTAAGGAGTAACCTTAAGTACTTAAAAAGCTAACATGACTCACATGAATTTCTCTTAGAAAACTATTTATTCACCCTGGACCACATTTGATTGGGACCTAAAAATTTATAACTTTCTTTCTAATGCAGAAATCCTCACTGAGGTAATATTTTATCCTTTGGGGAAAAATAACTTTAAAAGGTTAAGAAGATAGTGTCAGAGCAATTAATTTTGAAAGTGGCTTCTAGTTAGGACTTCAAGCTATGTTATAAAGATAGTCCACTGACTTAAAATGTGATATTTTGGACTATTTAATTTATGCATTTTTATGAATAGGAAGTTTGTATTTATAATGTTTCGGTAGAAATCAGAAAGAGTCAGACATATTATACAGTGATTTTATTATAATCATTTTTCCAACACATAAAATACAGGAAATATAATGTTAGAGCTGTGTGAGGATCATAGCAAAGATATGTCATTAAAACTTACTATGCATCTCTCATTTCAGGAGATGTTATATTGTAAACCATAAGCAGATAAAGCAAAAATCAATTGAACCCTTAATAAGTAATTGATGCAAAGAAAAAACATATCAAATATGTTTTTACCATACGCATTAATTACTATTGGTAATTAACACATCAATCTCTTCATGCAACACCACCACCAAAAAAAGAATATATAATCATCAGACTTAATCATGCCCCAATTCATATGTAAAAAGTTATGCTAAATGCAGTATCAGCAAAGTATTTTGTTCAACCACAAAGCTAGTGTTAATCAATTAAAAGGTTAAGAAATTAGATGAGGGTAAGAAAATAAGGATTGT